CCGCCCCTCGACACACGGGACACAGGAAGGTCCGGGTCCCGAAGGAAGGGGAGGGAGAGACCGGGGAAGACCAGAGACAAGGACACGGGAAGCCATGCCCCGAAGACGAGGCAAGGAGGGGTGTCCAAGACGGTGGTGCCAGAGGAGGGTCTCCTGAGACAGGCGGCGACACGAGCAGGGGGCAGACTCAGGACCAGACCTGGACGCAGCAGCAAACACCTGACCCGACGCAGCTACCTGGCCAGACGCAGGGACAGGAGGAGACTCAGTGGTCAGGGTGTAGAGACTCGACCCCGGCCGACGCGAAAACGTGGCCAGGTGTCGGCCTGTGCGGGCGTCCGAGCAGTGGGTCACCCGCTGACTCGCAGGAGTAAACTGGTGAACCCCCGCATCCTGCAGGTCAGCACCACTCACCAAGTTCGTCGAGAACGAGGGGAGGTACAGACCAGACAAGGTGCCCGAGGGGGCAGCCGGACACGGGAGGACAGTGGAGAAGTGAGAGAGGACAGGACCCCCAGAGGGGTCAGCCAGGGAGACTGCAACCGGCCGGCCAAGCGGCGTGAGTGTGGTGCGGTCTCGAAAGAAGGAGCGAGAAGCCCCTGAGTCAAGCGTGAAGGTGAGGGAGGCCGAAGCCGACGCAGTACTTGAGAGCGCAGCCTCACCAGTACCTGAGAGTGCAGACGCACTGGCACCTAGAGCAGCAGCCGCAGAAGTACCTAGCGCAGCAGTACCAATGCCCGGGTCGGGCGGGAAACACCGGTAACAGTCACCCTCCTCACTAATAGTCACAGCATACATGGCAGCAAGGATAGCATCAAAGTCAAGATCAAAGATAGCTACGCCAGCCCTAGACAGCTCTCCCCAACGGGGAATCTCACTAGCCTCGGGGAACTGCTGACGCCAAGCGTCCGTCAGGCGGCCAAAGCAGCGCTGGGTGGGGTGGGCACCCCCACACTGCTCACCCGCGCGGTCGCCGGAACGAAGGACGTAGGTGCACGGACCAAAACCCCCACCCCGCTGACGCTGCGTGTACCACTCACGGAGCTGCTGGGGCGGGGGGATGTCCCGCGAACGCTGCTGCTGCTGCTGCTGCTGCTGACGCTGGCCACCACCAGAGCCGCTACGCTGCGGGGCACCACCCCGACCAGCTCCACCCCCTCCGCCACCGCCGCCTCCACCTCCACCACCACCGCTGCCTCCGCTCCCACCGCTGCCGCCACCACCGCCTCCTCCTCCGCTGCTGCCACCGCCACCACCGCCCCCGCCACCACTCCCACCGCCACTCCCACTCCCTCCGCCGCCTCCACCGCCACCTCCACCGCCCCCTCCAGTTCCACCCGCGCCCTTGCCCCCCTTGCCCCTGCCAGGGCGGCGTCTCCCGCTAGGGGCAGACGCCGCGCAGACCGACTCAAGACCAAGCAGGTCGGCAGCAGCAGCAGAGGCAACAGAGGGCAGCAGGGGGGAAGGAGAACACCCCTCAAAGATGGGGGTGCGAGGGTCACCACGAGAGGCTCCTACAGCGACGATGCTCTTCTCCGCCGCCAGGAGGGACTTCTCGAGGAGATCGACAGTGAGAGTGGTGGGACAGACTGAGAGGAAGTGGTCCCTGACTACGTGAAGGGAGTCAGGGAGGCGTGTGACTATGTAATAGAGAGTGATGTACATGGGGGGGGGGTTCTTGGCGCAGAACTCAGCAGGAAGGGCGGCGCGGTAGCGAGTGTCACTAGTGCGGAGGTGCGTAATGAGGTCAGCGACAGTGGGAAAGGCAGCAAGGTCAGGAAAGAGGTACGGTAGCATGAGGCGGCTCAGGGCAGCAGTGGCAGGGGAAGAGTAGCGCGCAACTACAGCGTCGTACAAGGTCTGAGCACTCTTGTACTGACTAAAGTGCGCGCGCTCAGTGGTAGGCAGGTGGCGACGCACAGCAAGACGTGCAGCAGCATCGCGGGTGGCCCACTGAGAGCGAACAGTGGGGTCAGCATCAGCAGCAGGGGCAGGAGAGGCGCCAGAGGTGAGGTCAAAGAGGGAAAGACCGTCCGTCCTATCGCACTGTAAGAACAGCTGCAGGTCGTCGACCCAGACCTCAAAGTCAATGGCTCGACCCTCAGCGTCAAAAGCGAGGACACTAGGGGTAGCCATGACGACGACAGTGTAGCAGTGCAAGCAGTAGGGGAGGGGCACGCAGTAACAGTGGTGCTGTGCTCACCAGGCAGGGCAGGTCGGGCGGCTCGGCAGTAGGGCGGCCCGGCGGCTGGGCGGCTCGGCGGCTCGGCTGCTGGGCGGCTCGGCTCCCGGGCGACCCGGCTGCAGGGCGGCTCGGCGGCAGGGCGGCTCGGCGGCTCGGCTCCCGGGCGACTCGGCGGCAGGGCGGCTCGGCAGCAGGGCGGCTCGGCTCCCGGGCGGCTCGGCTGCTGGGCGGCTCGGCGGCAGGGCGGCTCGGCGGTCGTAGGCGGCGGGGCCGGTGAGGATAGGCGGCGGAGCCGGTGAGGATAGGCGGCTGGGCCGCGAAGTGGGGCAGCGGGGCCGCGTAGGTGAGGGCGGCGAGGCCGCGAAGACAAGGGCGGCGAGGCCGCGTAGGTGAGGGCGGCGGGGCCGCGAAGTGAGGGCGGCGGGGCCGCGTAGGCAAGGGCGGCGAGGCCGCGACGTGAGGGCGGCGAGGCCGCGAAGGCAAGGGCGGCGAGGCCGCGTAGGTGAGGGCGGCGGGGCCGCGAAGTGAGGGCGGCGGGGCCGCGAAGGTGAGGGCGGCGGGGCCGCGTAGGCAAGGGCGGCGAGGCCGCGTAGGTGAGGGTGGCGGGGCCGCGAAGTGAGGGCGGCGGGGCCGCGAAGGTGAGGGCGGCGGGGCCGCGTAGGCAAGGGCGGCGAGGCCGCGTAGGTGAGGGCGGCGGGGCCGCGACGTGAGGGCGGCGGGGCCGCGACGTGAGGGCGGTGGGGCCGCGTAGGTGAGGGCGGCGCAACGGGCCGCCAGGGGCGACACGGAGGGTCGCTAAAAAAAAAAAAAGCGCGCCTCGGGGCGCGCTTCGGTGGGCCCTAGAAACAGTCCCTAGGAGGGGACCTGCTCTGATTCCATGAGAAAAGGAGAAAGCGAATGAATGAACTATGAATGAAGTGAGTACATATAGGAAACCCTAATTGGGTTGTACCCCCTATGGGATACCCCACTATAGCCTACACAACAGCATAAGCTATATATATGTTCTGACACCCACCTCCCTACCATGTTCTAACCTTTTGGATCTATGCATTTCCGAAGATATATGCATTCCAGTCGTGCATGGTACCTGCACTACAGGCGCGCATACCGACCAAACTGACCAGCGCATTACTTATGTTTGTAGTGATGCAGTTAGTACCATTTTCTTGCAAGTCCACTAGATTAGGCCTTCTACTTCAAGAACACTAGTTTCTAACCATTTGGATCCACATAATTTGGGAGATTTCGAGTTTTTGATTTTGATCATGTAACCTCCGAGTACGGTTACTGGGCGGTCAACAGTCACGACCGTTGACCTACTGTGACTGTTGACCTTCGAGTGAATCTCGAGGTGCCGCGTGCTCTATATGAGTTATTGCGGTACTGGTACAACAGCGCTGCTTCGTTATGAAGTGACGCGCTGGAAGAGAACCTTCGGGAATGTTATAATAACCTTCCGGTTATTCCAACACTCCCCTCGTCGCGCCTCAACTCCCATCATCGCGCCACCCCTCCATTCGTCACGTGTCTTCTCGTGAGCCTCATCACCTCCTGTCGTCGTGCCAGCATCCCTCATCACGCCGCCCCTCGCCACGCCTCATGTCTCATTGTCGCGCTTCCCCTCCCCTGTCGTCGCGCCTCCCCTCGTCTCGCCGCCCCTCTCCTCTTCTCGCCTTCACTCCCCTCGTCGCACTTCCACTCCCCTGGTCGTACCTCCCCTCCTAGCTTGAGTACGCTGTAGAGTTCTCTAAATCCTTCGTGTAGAATAGTTCAATTGCTAGCTAGCTTCTTGCCTTTTGAACTATTAAATTGATTATTGCTCAGACCACCCGGGTTGGGCTTTCACTTTTAGCGAGACCCCCCATAGCCCATATATTATTTACCCTTCCATGCGAGTTGTCGAGCATTTCGCCAACTCTTGTTTCAGTTCGCACATGCGAACTGGTTTCGTACAATCTCAAAATTCTCAACCCGTATACACATGATGCCTGATTGAGCCCCTCCCGGTTGCCTTGTGAAGGGGGCGTATAAGCTGTATCGTGCAGTTCGCATAAGTTTCGTCAATCCGCAGCTAGCTAAAAAGGACTCGCAGGTGCTTATATAAAGGATCTGTAACCTTATCCGTTGACCTTTTGACTTCAGTCTCTTCATTTTGACTTCGGTCTGTTCGTTACTATTGGTTCATAACCACGCGACGCGCTTGTAACGTGGGTGCAACAGGCTGGGGAAAAAACCTCGGGTGCAGCGTTTCCATCCGGTGTGGAGGAAATTCGCGTGCATGGGGTGGGCATCATCTGTACCTCCTCCTCGTTCGACGCGCTTCGGTATTTTCCCACCTGGCGCACGAACATTGCCCTAGCGAAGTACAGGCAGACCCCACCACATTCCCCTGACGCTCTGGTCCGGTTCCACCCCTACCAAGTTCGTGCCAGGATGAATTCAGTTTCGCACGAACATCACACAAAGAGCGAGCCACTGGCTCAATACCGCACTGCCTGCAACCCCACCTTGGCCCCCTAGACCCGCCTTGGCCTTCCATCCACCAGCCCCGCTCCAGGATACCCCAATTCAGTGTGTCCACTCCACCACCATTGCCAGCGTGGCCGCTTTGGCTTGCTCTACAAGCTGCCCACCTTGAGCACGCGCTTCGTGTCGCGAGCACGCCCCGGCGAGCATCAGACGATATAAAAGCTCTTTATCTCCGAGGATCGATACATCCTTTACCATCGTTCCTTCGCCATCCGAGTCCTCTCACCAGTACAAACGTCTCCAAGCAAATCATACCTGTTGCATTCATTGCATAGTTGATCTCATGGCTCCTCTAGTCTCGGCAAAAGGTGCGTTGATCGCTCAATACCTTTTCTATCGATCTTTCGATTCGACTCTAATCCCCTCAGTCCCAACCTTCGTGCATCTCAATCTCGTCAGTCTTTGCTGTCGTCATCAAAGCTCCCGTTCGAGTTCATTCCGAATCCTTCGTCCGTCGCGCTGTCATCAGCAATGCTCTCGCTCCGTCACCAGCGTTTCTGAATCCGAGATGCTCCGCCCTGTTACCTGAGATGCCCTTACTCTCGCCCTCCGCTCCCTGCGTGTCGCATTACGGTCTTCACCCCCCGTACTCATCCTTTTGCGCCCCTCCGCGTCCCCACCCCCCTCCAGGCGCGCTCGTCCTCGGGGTGCTCTTCGCGTCCGCGCTCCTCACTCTCGCCGCCGCACCGAAATGTGAGTGCGCCGCTCAACCAACCTGGCCCTCGCCGCGCCCTCACCCCACTCTGTTTCCGCCGTCGTCCCGCTCTCTTCTCGCCCTCGAATAGCTCTCCTCTCGCTCTGTCATAGCTTGCTCTCGCCAGCTGTCGTACTGATCGATGCGTGTTTCCCTGCGTCGTCGCTTGTTGTCGCACGTTGTCGCACATTGTCGCAGGCGTGCTGTACTCGAATTGGGACGTGACGGACAACATGAAGACGCAGTCGAAGAAGAGCGGCAAGTCTACCAAGTCGCTTCCCACTGGCAAACTCACCCTCAAGGAGTACAAGTACGTATTCTGGCTACGCCGTTCCGCCACAGCTTCCGCCATTGCGCCACAGCTTCCGCCACAGCTTCCGCCACAGCTTCCGCCATTCCGCCACAGCTTCCGCTATCCTCTTCCTCTTACCTTCCCAGCTCGCTTCTCCGCCTCGAACCCGTGCCGTCCCTCTAAATTCCTTCCGCCTCTCTCCCGCGCGTTTCTCAATCGCAGGGGCAGCTCAGACGAGTCGTTCGACCTGTCGGTGACTGCGGAGCTGAGCGGGTTACCAGAACCCCCTGTGGCGATCGTGATCGGAAAGGGCAAGTTCGGCAGCAATACCGGCGTGTCGTGGCTCATCAACAAGCCCTGGAGCGGCAGCGGCGGCTCGTACAAGCTGGACTTCAAGCTGACGGCTATTGAGAAGATCGCGCCACGTGGCGGCAGCGGCACGATTCTGGATGTGATGCAGGCTGTGGATACGCACATCGTGTCGGAATACTACACCGCGGTTCTCACCAAGTCCACCAGGAAATCTGGCGGCCTCGTTGGTGGCGGATTCGTTAAGGGCTTCCCCAACATTCTTCCCCTGTTCAAATGCTAAAGCCAATCGCGGCTTGTACTCCTTGTGCTTTGGGGCCTTCCAGTATGGCCCTGTTGGCCAGTATGGCCCTATTGGCCCTCTTTCAGCCAAGTAATACACTAATAGAGTTCCCAACTCATAATTGTCTCAGCAGCTGCATTTTGGCGTTACACTTGGTTTTGTATTTGTAAGAGCCATATTCTGTATGTTATTGCTTGTATAACCATATATTTTTAATGCACTATGGTGTGGCCCCTTCGTTAACTACTGACAACGACAATATCGCTTGTTTTTGGAAGTGGCATATTCAAATCCTTCAGAATTTGAAAATTAACGCCTTCAATCGAGGCCTCGCCCCCTCCCCTCGTAACCTCAAATCCCCTTCATTCTGTGTCGCGCCTACACTCCACTTGCGGCCTTGTTAAGACTTGATTCGAGTCCCGCCTCCTCCCCTCGAATCGCCGGAACATGCCATTTCATATTTTTTCCGTTCCTTCCCCTCTCTCACTTCCTTCCATCTCCTTTCCCTTCTTTCCCAACTCACCTCCCTGTCATGATACCTAAGTTACGCTAGGAACTTAGGACATGTGGGTTTAGCCATATCGAGAGTAACGAGAGGGAAGGTTGGCCAAAGATGGGTTTCATTAAGAGAAGCAGGAGTACAAATAGGCAAAAGCAAGCAGATGTTGTAACACTACACAGTAGCTACACTAGCAGGCAGGTATATGAAATGTATAATTTCTGACACACCCCCTAACTGCCTGGAGTGGAAGCCACGTGCAGAGACACCCCCGTAAGGGGTACACCAAGGGCAGAGGGCTGCAGTAACCTCAGTCACGGCAGCTGCAGCAGCGGCGCGTGCAGGCGACGGTAGGTGGGCGAGAGAGCAGGCGCTGTGGCTGCAACGAGCAGCAGGACAGCACGGCTCGGCACCTCCGAGGGCGAGCCAGCAGCAGGCAGCAGTTGCACAAAAGAACGAGAGAACGAAAGACAAGAAAGGCGGGGCATGAGAAGAAGATGAGAGAAGGAGGAAGAAAACGAACGGATGAGACGGCTGGAAACAGGGCCGTAGGTATCAGACTTTTTAGTCTGATTCAGAGTCCGTTCAGTCTTTTTTTTTGTACCTAGTCTGAACTCAAAGTTTTTCTAGATGTACCTTCTTTGTTTTTTCAGAGTTTTATTTATGGATTGGCTGAAATTTCAGACGAATTTTATGAGTGTAGGCTGAGCCTTAGCCTTGTATCGGGGGTGCACTCTGAAATGGGTAATGCAGGGGTTTCCGCCAGCCTGGCGGCGTGTTGCACTTACACCGTCAATTCCGGGCGGGAAACGAAAATTTCCCGAGCGCGGCACCGCACATTCGCGTTGGTACAGGAATGATGTAATCTAGTTCAATTCCAGCCAATCGTGGCTGCGCAGCAGGCAGTGTTGGCAAGATTCCTTGCCAACGCATTGCTCGCAGCGCGCTCCACCCGGACGACACCACAACCATCCACCCCACCCCACCGTCCTCCTTGCCAACGCATAGCTCGCAGCGCGCTGCTACTCTCACGTCACCACATCCATCCGCCCCACCCACCCCACCTTCCCTGCATACACGACCAGGTGCCGTGCATGCAGTGACCACCAGGGATATGAGCGGTCCAAATACGAGGACCTCTCATCTTCCTCATCGTCGCCTTTCTTGGGGGTCACTCTGTGCCCTGTCTCTCTCGCTTCACTTCAATTGCCTCGCCGGAAACTAGTGCCGGAACCCTTGTTTCAGGCTCCCTCTCCTCGACCTCGCATATCCAGTGCTCGGCAGACTCAATGGCAGCCACAGACGCTGTCGCCGAAGGGCCCGACGATGACGAAGATGCAGATCGTCGCCCTGTTTTAGACGCTGTGACCGGCCTATACTTTCTTAGATCAGTCTTACCGAAGCATGTTCCACCGCCAGCGCCACCTTCGCAACCTAGCTGTAGTCGCCCTCCGGTTTCCATGCACTCTGAACCTCTGCCCGAGGCCGTCAATGAATCAGTGATCGCTGCACCACAGTCGGTGCCCCATGAGGCGTCCGTTGAACCACCGTCCCGTCCCGCGCCACCGACGAAGCTGCGGTACCGACAGACCACGTTTCCGTGGGCAACTCCACCTCCTCCATCGACCGTTGAAGCTCCAGCGAGTGACGAATCTCCCATGTAGGACAGCTCAAAGCCCACCGACAAATCTCCCTCCGACAATTTGGAGATGAAATACGAAGAAGCTCACTTGCGTTATAAGTCAAAGTGGTCTACCGATTTCACGTGGCTCATTCTAACTGAAACCGCTTCTGGTGCCCCTGGTTTGAAGTGCAGTATATGCTTGGGTTTCGCGGGACTTACATGCAAGTGTGGATGACGTGGTGATGGCGCTACCGACGTGCAGACGCAGTCCTTCAAGAACATGAAGGGACGGTGAAGCATCGATTTGCTCTGCAGCGGCAGGAGGACCTCTTGCAAAAATATGGGCGACAGCAGTGAGAGAAGTAGAACGAGAATGAATGAACTATGAATGAAGTGAGTACATATGGGAAACCCTAATTGGGTTGTACCCCCTATGGGATACCCCACTATAGCCTACACAACAGCATAAGCTATATATATGTTCTGACACACCCCCATAGGCAAAGTGGGGGAGAACAAGGGGTCACAAGACCAGTCAAGCAAAGCAGAGCAAGCTCAGGGTGGATCACAAAGTCACCACACAGTCAGAGCACAACGACAGGGCAACAGGGCCAGTTCACATGCAGGAGTACACATATATATATAGAGCTAGACAAGCAAGAGCAGGTATATATATGTGACAGTACAAGCAAGGTCAAGAAGAGAGCAAGTGAGGCAAGACAGGTACAAGACCCAGCTGGGTGCAGAAGCGCTGATGGTCACAAGGCGCAAGTGCCTTGGTGAACACATCAGCAGTGTTGGCCTCAGAGGCCACGTACGCAAGTCGCAACTGACCACGCTGCTGCAGCTCACGAGCAAGAAAGTAACGGAGAGCAATGTGCTTCGTTCTGTGCTCCAAGCGCTGCTCTCGACACAAGGCCAGCATGGCCTTGTTGTCTACGTACAACACTGGAGGAGAACGAGGCGGCTCTCCAAGGTCAGTCAGCAGGTAGGTGAGCCAGCGAAGCTCCTGTGCAGCCATGGCCCCGGCGTAGATCTCAGCCTCACAACTGGAGCTGAGAACAGAGGACGAGCGAGTAGCCCGCCACGAGACAGAGCCGGAACCAAGACTGAAGGTGTAACCCTGCGACGACCGCTGTGTAGCCTGGTCGTCTGCCCAAGAAGCGTCCGCGTGCCCAGTGAGGACCACTGGACTCCGCCCTCCAAGCACTAGCCCCATGCCCGACGTACTGCACAAGTAGCGCAACACCCTCTTCGCTGCAGCCATGTGCTCTGGTCGGTGTCTCCCAGGAGCAACATAGCGTGAAAGAATGCTAAGAGGGTATGCAAGGTCAGGTCGTGTGCAGGTCATCAGGTACATGAGGCAGCCAACAAGCTCTGGGTACGGGCCACTCGACTCTACGGACTCATCCGAAGGCAGAGCTGAGAGCGAGTGGCGAGTAGACAGAGGAGTGGCCTGAGGCGAGGAGTACGTGAAGCCGAAGCGCTGAAGGACCTGCTGCACCATGTGTGACTGAGTCAAGGTAATGGTGCGGCGTGCTCTGTCCCGAGTGATCTGCAAGCCAAGGTAGCTGCGCAGTTCACCCAGGTCTGTGCACGTGTGTCTCTTCTGCAGCTCGGACTTCACGTAGGCTAGTCCAGCAGTGTCAGCTGTGGCAAAGACCAAGTCGTCGACGTACACGAGGACGTAGAACGGCGGCAAAGAAGTGTCGGTGCGCAGAAACAACGACGGGTCAGCAGTAGAGGGAGCAAACCCAAGAGCCGCAAGCGTAGTCCTCAGTGTGTCGTGCCACTCACGCGGTGCCTGGCGGAGACCGTAGACTGGCCGTCGGAGGCTCCACTGGGTGCCAGGAGGGAAAGTCCCAGTGAAGCCAGGTGGACGGCGCAGCCAGATCTCCTCGTGCAGGCTACCCTGCAAGAAAGCAGTGCTGAAGTCAAGAGAGTGGAGCTCGTAGTCGCGCTGAGCGGCTATGTGCAGTAGCACCCGAAGAGTGGTCATCTTCGGGGTGGGAGAGAAGGTCTGAAAGTAGTCAACTCCCTGCCGCTGACTGAAGCCACGAGCGACGTACCGCGCCTTGAAGACAGGTGGAGAGCCCGGCGGCCGCTTCACCCTGAAGATCTACATGCCACTGACGATGTTCGCCCCAGGAGGGGGAACCGCGTCAACGTAGGTGCCTGTGGACTTCCAGGACGCCATCTCTGCATCCATAGCTGCCTGCCACTGAGAGGAGTAGGGACCCTCTACGGCCTCCGCGTAAGAGCGCGGAGTCGGGATGTCTAGTGCATCCGGGTCTCCCTCAGGGGCAAGTAGTACGGACGCGAGATGAGGTGAAGCAGCAGCCAGACACCGGAACTCCTCCTGCCTGTCCTCAAGGACGTCCGTGCCAAGAGCACACTCACCCCCGACGGACGGAGGACAGACAGACGCAGACTCAGCAACAAGACCGGCCGCGTAGTCTAGACGACAGCGAGCAGCAAAGTCGACGAGCTCAGCAACAAGCGCAGACGCAGCAGTGGACTCAAAAGAGGGGTCAGTGACGACAGTAGCAAGGAGACGTGTGACAGCAGGACTGGCAGCACGAAGAGAGTCCGACTCCGGGTCAGGAAGAGCAGGAAGAGAGGACTCAGGAGGAGAAGGCAAAGGGGCACGCAGAGGAGCAGTGGACGGACGCAGAGACATCCGGTGCGTGCCAGGGACAGGAGGAGGACGCTGACGCGAACCACGACCACTAGTGCGAGCAGCACGGACAGGCGACGCAGGGCGAGACGCAGGCTCACGACGCTCAGCAAGACCTCCAGTAGGACCAGTGTAGGGAGAAGGAGCGGGCAGTGGGGAGGCCGGCTGGAACTGTAACTGTGACAGGACAGGCTGTGGAC